GCAAGGTCTCTAGGGCTTTAGTCGGCGTCGATGGTAACGCTCCCGTGATCATCATGCACGCCACCCTTTGGACCGCTGTTAATTTGTTTCTTATTGTAGATTTATCTACGGACGGCCACCAAACCGTTATGCCGTAGAATAGAATGGGACGCACAACCGCTGTGTACATCCAGTTCACAATATGAGGCTTCAATCCCCATTTTTTCCCAATCGCCGATTTACAGGCATACATAGCAGTTATAGCTTTCTTGCAGCGCTCTTCTATATTGCGCCGCCAAGTTAACTTTCTGTCAAGAATAACGCCCAGATATCTAACCTCCTCCGAGAAAGTCAGTACGATACCGTTCAAGGAAGGAGGTTGTAGCCGGACAGCTTTCGTTTTCTTTGAAAACAGAACCATGGCCGTTTTTGCCGGATTGACACTAAGTCCTACTTCTTTGGACCAGGTATCCACGACGCGTAAGGCGCCTTGAACTAAGTCACATAGAACTTGGGGGTGCTTACCAATTGCCGTCAGGGCAAGATAATCCGCGTAAGCAATGACTTGGCAAACTGTGCCTTGCAACCGTGACAGCAGGGTATCCACAGTTAGATTCCAAAGAAGTGGGGAGAGAACACCGCCTTGTGGGGTTCCGCGACTCGCATATCTTGTTATAGATACCTCCCCCATCTCCGAGTAAATAGTTCTACTGCCTAAGAGGCGACGAACAAACTCAACCATAGGGTGATCCAGCCCAAGGCGAGCTAGGGCTTGAAGGACCGCTCCCGGGAGAACATTATTGAAGGCACCCTCGATGTCCAGGAACACGCCTAGTGCAAATTCCTTAAAAGCGAGAGTCTTTTCAATGGTGCTGACAATACTATGCAAAGCTGTATCCACAGATCTACCTTTCCAGTAGGCGTGTTGACAGCTAGAGAGATTATTTACATCAATTTCCTGTCGGATCTGCAAGTCTACAAGTCTTTCCAGAACCTTGAGAAAGAAAGAAGTAAGGCTTATCGGTCGAAAGTCACTTGGTTTAACGTGGGAGGGTCTACCTCCCTTGGGAATAAAAACAACTTTCGCCAGGGTCCAACCCTTGGGTATGAAACTAAGCTTGATACAAGCCTTATAGATTAAGACAAGTATCGGACATAACACGTCAGATGCTGACTGAAGTTGGGCAGGGAAGATACCATCCATACCTGGAGATTTGTAGGGCTGGAAGGACTTTATGGCCCAGTCTACCCTTTGTACATCAATGAAGTCCGCTGAAGTCAACGGCCGTTCAGAGATAATAGCCGCGGTGTTGGGCTCCGCAGTACATCCTGGAAAATGCGCGTTCATTAGGACTTCAAGCATTTCCTCACGAGATGACGTCCAGTCACCATTTGGTTTCTGAATATACATCGCGTTCGTCGGACTTTTCGCAAGCACCTTTCGCAGGCGATTTCCCTCCGACTGACCCTCTATGCTATCGCAGTAATCCTTCCAGGAGTCCCTTTGGGCTTTCCTGGTGGCATTTTTAAATTTCTTCAGGGCTGCCTTATATGCAGCCCAAGAGCCATCGCGCTTTGCCGCATTAAAGAGTATCCTGCTTTCCTTCCTTAGAGAGGCGATTTCTTTGCTCCACCAGTGTGGCTTCTTCTTTCCTCTCGGAAGTACAAGTGGGCAGGAAGCAGATAAGGCCGAATTACAGGCTTCGGTAATGCAATCAACGGCTTCTTCAATTTGTTCCGATGAGCCTAACTCACCGAGAGAAGCAAGGTTTGCGAGAGAAAGCTCCGCTTCATCAGGTGGGGACAGTAAGCCTAGCTTACTGAGAGAAGCCTTGTTGAGCAAATTCCCCGAGAGTACTTTCCTAAACTTAGTCCAGTCAGTACGTCTCTTGTTTCTGTAAGCTTCCGAGGCCGGAAGTTCAAAGGAGATTACAAATGAGAGATACATGTGATCAGAGAATGAATGGTCGCTCAGTACCTTCCACTCCCTAATACTCTCAAAGAAAGCGCTAGACGATAAGGTAATATCTAATACCTCCTTCCTATTTGAGGTTACAAAAGTGGGTTTATCACCAATATTACAGATGGCTAGATTATATAATAATATAAAATCAAGTAACAACTCACCCCTCGGGTTGATGTCGGTAGATCCCCATACCGCGTGATGCGCATTTGCATCGGCTCCTATGACTATGGGAAACTTCCTCGAGTTGGCCTCTTTCACCACGTCCAGTAACCGAGCGGGAGGGCAGTCTTGGCGATCGTAGGCCATGTATGTACTGACCAGCCAGAGTGTTGTGGATTGGCTTTCCACAGAGATGCTCACCGTATCTTCATCGCTGAACTGTGTGAGTAAATTATAAGAAATACTTTTTTTGATTAATATACATGCCCTGATCTTACCTGCCACAGGTGCCGACACTATGCGGTAAGCATCAGAATTAAGTCCACAAACCCTGTGCTTAACAACCCAGGGCTCCTGGACAAAAAACTAGCTCCTCCCCTCTATCACTGAGGTGCAGGAGCAGAGCTGCAGAAGCTGCTTTAGAGTGATGAAGGTTTATTTGTAGAACCTTCATCCACAGCTTATAAAATATCGTCCCCGTCCATCACTTCTGGCGGGGTTCTATCGAACGCCTCAACGATGGTATCATCGGCGTCCTCTGAGTCCGACGTCAGAAGCAGGTTCCCGAACTCCCTCGTCCACCGGTTAAGTACCGATCCGTCACCAGAAACAGATTGCGTATCGCTATCTGTTTCCGCTGCCGAGTCTGACCTCACCACCGGGCAAGAGGCCTCGAGAACCTCCTGGACCCCTTGGTTAGAAGCAGGACCGCTCAAGGCGTTTTCTGCTCCAGATATAGGGCCGCCTTTAGGCGGAAGATTGCCAGCCTCGGGTTCACCCTCGGTGTTCCCCGGCTCTATCATTTTACCCTCATTCCCTTTTTGGGTTTTGAGGGTAATGGAGTAAAAGCCGTAGCTAATTACTCCCTTGCAGTCAGCAAGGATCGGGAGAGACTCCTCGTTTATCACCAAGGTGATGTAACGTTGCTGCTCCCTAGCCTCGCTGACCTTCACTACTTTCCAATCAAGGGCTGGTAGTGCATCATTTGAGACCTGGATGATATCCAGAATCTCCTCAGGACTCGAGGGTTCCTCTGGGACCCAGGCTCTGGCTCGCGGCTTACAAGGGATTTCATCCCTGTGCACTGCCACCAAGTCAGCGCTGGGCCACAGTTCCCCAAGAGAAGAAATTGCTTCCTTATAAAGTCGCGCCGACCGTTCATCAGCGCAGGAAACTAATTTGATGCGGCCTTGGTAGAGACCAGCATCGCGGACAGTTGGCGCAGGGCCAGGATTTTTCCGGAGAATCTCCTTGTACACCCGGCAGAGACCCACCAGGACGGACCTCCAGTTGTCGGCCGTCAGGTTTCCTTCCGGGTGCCCCCTATCCATAACTGCCAGGATCAAGTGGTCCTTGGCCACATCACTGAAAGCCCTCAGAGCCCTTGGAGGGTTAAGAGGGCTGTTAGCGTTAGAGGTTTTGGGCCTCTTAGGAGCAGCATCCACGTTGTCTGCTGACCGTTGCCTTTTGCTGCCCAGCTCCCTAGGACGAGAGTGAGTGGGTGCAGGTTTGTTGGCGGCATTTCCTTCCTGAGGTCGCTCACGACTTTCGGAGAGAACGCCCCACGCCCTCTCAACCACTTCCCTCATACTCTCGGGAACCGGGTCATTGCCGAACTTCCTCAGTAGTCTAGAAGCGGCTCTTCTGTCCCTCTTCGCCCTGACTGCTGGTCGGACTTCTTTTTTGGTCCTCGAACCACTGGGACCTGGGACGCCTTTGCGTTGATCCGACTTCTTACCCTCAAGGGGCTTGCGGTCGGTGGTGCTGTCCGTGCAGGACTTCCGGGTGCCAGTATCGCCTTCTCCCGGCGCCGCTTTGGAGCTGCCCTCAGGGGGTGTACTCGCAGCTTCCAGAGATGTGGACGACTGGCACGAGAGGTCAATTGGCCGTGCAGGCTCCGCTTGCAACCCAGACGCCAGTTGACCACTACCCACCAGGGGTTTGTTGCTACTGACGCCGGGCGCAACATTTAGTACTGTTAGCCGTTTAGGCTCCTTCGGGACCGCTCCAGCGGCTACCGAAGATGTCGTTTTTAGACAGACTTTAACGCCGTGTCCGTCGGCGGCATTTTTACCCGTGCAGGGATCCGGGGCTACATTTTTCGAGTTCATTATTTCTGGTTCGTTGGTCGCCTACTGAGCCGAAACCGTTCGGCGACCGAATATATGGGTAAGGGGAAAAACGGTCGGCCTCAGCAGAGCCCCATGCTGAGGTAAGTCCACCGTTACTCCCGGAGGCGGACAGGTATCCGGGAGGCGCCGTTAGAATACAGTCGGAAAACCCCCTGACTGCAAACCATCCAATGGGCACGGTGACGCATGACACCCTGGATTAGGGGGGCGTTTTATACCTACCGCCAGGTACCCCCTAGAAATAGCCTAAGTATGCCCACCCCAGCCCCCCTCGGACGAGCCCGTACGGCCTACCACTAGACCTAGATGAGGCAGGGGAGTTTATACCTCGGCCTTGGCTAGGCTCCGCCTGCTTGCACCACTGCAGCCATAGGAACAAGCCTACCTTGCCACAGCGGTGTAAGCAACGATGCCCATTGCCCAGTCGGCAACCGCTTGGAGGATATATCTAGGAGGATTTTCGCCAACCGCGATAATAGCTAAAGAAATAACAAATTAAAACGCGCAAAAAACTCAAGAGAGAAATACAAAAAAGTATAAAATGTCAAAATCGTTAACACTTATGCACAGTCTGTTGATACTTAACCCTTACATTAATATGTGCGATTAAAATATAAGAGAAAGCATAAATGAACCCAACATTTCCGCCGCCCTTGAACTATCTTGATACGTTTAATTAAAAAAAAAAAAATTTAACATCAAAGTATTATGCACAAGCTTACAATAGTGGAGGTTCTAAATGGCACTTATGCATATATATAATACTAATTTCCATCATGAAATATATCGCCTTTCGTAGGAAGGAGACAGAGTTTCGCTATAGGACGAACCAACTCTCCATGCGGCGTTTGTAAAGTGACTACTCTTACGTGCCCATCATTACCAGGGTGGCATTTCTTAACTCGCGCAAGCGACCACTTTGTCGGAGGAGTAGGCTCGCTGAAGACAACGACTACATCACCTTCTTCAATGTTACGTGAGGAACAGAACCATTTAGTGCGACGTTGTAGACTCACGAGGTATTCGTCTTCCCATCGGCGCCAGAAATGTCGCCTCATGGCCGAAATTGCTTGCCAACGTTGTCGAAGATCTCCACAGAACCCTTGACCCTCAGATTCTGGGATTGACTTCAGTGGCTCTCCAACAATAAAATGGCCGGGAGTTAGAGCTTCTATGTCGCCAGCGTCCGTAGGGTTATCACAGAGAGGGCGGGAGTTGACGCAGGCCTCCACTTCTGTCAACAGCGTGTTGAACTCTTCGTATGATAGCAGATTTTCACCCAGTACGCGTTTTAGGTGGTACTTAATGCGCTTGATACCGGCTTCCCAGTACCCGCCCATATGAGGTGCTGAAGGAGGGTTAAAACGCCACTCGATATTCGAATCGGTAAAAAAATTACGTGGTTTGGTGTCAGCCATACACTGTTGAAACGCGACTCGAAGCTCCCTTTCGGCACCAACAAAATTCGTACCGTTATCCGATGTCATAATCTTACAGTAGCCTCTACGATTGACGAATATCTTGAATGCGTTAAGGAATGCTGATGTGGACAGATCTCCAACAAACTCCAGATGCATTGCGACGGTGCACATACAAACAAAGAAACAAATGTATCCTTCGGTGGCCTTCGCTCCTCTTCCGTGGGTAAACTTATACAAGTACGGCCCAGCAAAATCAACAGCGGTACGGGTGAAACAACGTGCGTAAGTAGTTCGAGTCGCAGGTAAATCCCCCATCATTTGCGTGGCGAGGTTGCGATTCATGCAGATGCATTTCACGCACTTGTGGTATACGGCGCGTATTAGACTTCGAGCTCCAACAACCCAAAATCGACGTTGCAACACAACTTGCATAATGCGGGGTCCAGCGTGCAGCGTAAACTTGTGGATATCCGAGACAGTTCTTTGGCAAGATGATAGGATTCCTTACGTCAGGAGTAACCGTAGCATTTCTCAATCTGCCTCCAACGCGCAGGACATCTTTCTTGTCGAGATACGGCTGCAAACGCAAAACACTACTGCGAAGTGGAATTGGCCTCTTTGCGCTGCAATTAGAAATTTCATTAGAAAAAGAAAACTGTTGCGTATACCTTATTAATCGGAATTCAGCCTCAGTTATCTCCTGGAAACTCGGAGGACCAAGACGCTTTCTAGCGTTGTGTATAGTGCTAACTCGAGCGTTGAAGAAAAAACGTAACACGTAAGCGATGATGCGCCGCAACTTGGAGTACGACGAATATTTCGTCATTATTGACCATTGATCCTTCAAACTTGTTACATGAGCGTGAACCTTGCTTCGAACGCCCAATCAGTTGTATGATTCTTCGATGACGTCTGCTTCCAGAATAGGTCAGCGCCTACCAAAAACTCAGGGCCAGTCCACCACAGCTTATGATGGAGTAGTTCGGACGGACTGATACCCCTTGAAGCACAATCTGCAGGATTTTGTTCTGAGTGGACATGGTTCCAACAATCAGGAGGCAGAACCTCCTGGATATCAGCTACGCGGTTCGCAATGAAGGTCATCCATCTGCTGGGATGCGCTTGTATCCACGCCAATGTGATGGTCGAGTCGGTCCACGCATACAAAGGGTAGCGGAGTTCGTCCCAGCTAAGCAATACGTTCCGCACCAATTTAGCAGCGAGGTGCGCCGCGCATAATTCTAGACGCGGTAGAGTCGTTGATTTAAGCGGCGCCACCTTTGTTTTCGACGAGATCAACGAAACTGTCACCCTGCCATCTTTTTGTAAGGTTCGCGCATACATTACGGCGGCGTAAGCGCGTTCTGAGGCGTCGGCGAACACATGCAGTTCCGTAACTGAACCAGTTATTCCGGTGCCAAGCCACCGATTTACTTTAAAGTTTGAAAGAAGAAGCATCTCTGAGCGATGTTCCGACCACTTTATGGCGACGGAGTCAGGAATAACGTCATCCCAGCCAACGTTGGCACGCCAAATGTCCTGAAACCACATCTTAGAACGTATGGTTGCTGGAGCAAGTAGTCCCAGAGGATCAAATAGTGTGCTGACATCGGACAAAAACGCTCTTTTAGTCAAATTAACGGGCGGTCTCTTCAGGTTTACTGCAAATGTGAAATGGTCTTCGTCTGTGTTCCATATTAGGCCCAAGGCGTGAACATCTTTCCCATCGACGATGTAATGCGGTATAGATTCGGACGAGTTCGAAATAGTTTTATTTAGTTTCGCGCAATCCGACGCCCACTTTCTTAGTTCAAAACCACCTTCCTTAAGTATCTCGGAAACGTTTTGTTGCAGCGATTGAAGTTCTTCTCTACACGATGTACCAGTGAGCAGATCGTACATATAAAAGTCGTTTAGTATGACAGAAACGGCTTTTTGACAACTGTTCGACGAGTACCTTGCGGTCTGTTGAAGAGACTTTACAGCTAGGTGTGATGCCGCTGCTACTCCATAGGTCACGCGCAACATGTGGTAGTCTTGTATCGGTAGTAAGGGGTCACGACGCCAGACGATCCGTTGTAAATCGATATGTTTCGGGAGACGCAGACTTGACGGTACATCTTTGCGACGTCAGCCGTAACACCGTACCGATGAGTACGAAAACGTGTCAAAATGGAAAATAAATCCTGCTGCAGCTGGGGTCCGACAAATAACGCGTCGTTGAGCGAGTTTCCGGTAGCGCTTTTGGCAGATGCGTTAAATACGACCCTCAGTTATGTCGTAACACTTGACTCTTTTACGACTGGATGATGTGGCATGTAATAGACTGGATTCGAAGTTTTGGACGCAGGCTCCATATGACGCATATCAATGAGCTCCTGCATAAACTCATTGTAACGTACACGCAAGTCGTTGTCGCGGGCGAGTCGTCTTTCGAGGCGTAGCAGGTTCTGAACGGCGAAAGTTCGCGAGTCCCCCAACGGTACATCCGATTTCAGGGGCAGCTCAACTATAAACCGACCATCAGAAGCTCTTCGATGCGTTGACTCGAAATGGTTTTCACAGATACTCTCATCGTGTGTTAGATGCGTTTTTTGTGGAGCTTCCTCCAGTTCCCATAACCTGGTTAGCGTCCTTTCCAGTGTCACCTCACAATGCAGCGATTGCACTCGGGGCGTAGCGGGATGAGAGCCATCGACACTCCCAAACAACGGCCAACCAAAGACTGTTCGCTGGGTCATTGGCGTGCCAGACGGACCTTTGCGAAGTTCCGAGAAAACCAGCTGGTCCATGACGTCCATGCCGACCAATATGTCGATACGACCAGGCTTCATAAATTGCGGATCTGCTAGGAACAATCCTTGTACGTGGGACCATGCTGAAACCGGTACAAACTGCGTGGGCAAGTCGTTCGTTATTTTCGGCAAAATTAGTGTGTTTACTGTGAAGCGTCGATTGGAGCAGAGAGAAGAAAGCGTTAGTACTGTCTCACCTCTGGATCGACCTCCTTGTGTTGACCCAATGCCCGTAATAAGCACGTTGGATGATGTTCGCGGTAGACCCAAGCGTTGCACGCACGCCTCGGTTACAAACGAGGCATGCGACCCGGAATCAAACAGTAAACGGGCGGGTTGCCAATGACCGGCGCAATCGCGGACCTTTACCCACGCGGTGGACAATAGTACTAACCTTTCTGTTGGTTACGGCGGATTGGAGCTGGAATTCAGGCATGGTGAAACACGTACAGCGGCGGGGTCCGTTGGAGGACTAACAGCGGATGAAACATTTTCGTTCGCGTTTGGTGCGGCATCGACGGCGACAGGATGCGGGGGCACATGAGACGTATCGTCAACAAAATGAGCAGTGGTTGTGGCATTGTTCACAAAACAAACACTATGCAACAGCGTGTGGTGGCGTTGGCTACATACCCTACATGCAGATGCACTGTTACACTTAGCCTTAAAGTGACCCGGACTTAAGCAGTTCACACACACTCGTGATTCCTTTACGAACTTTGATTTTGCATTTACGTCTAAACTTCGAAATTTGTCGCAACTATAAATTTTATGGGGGCCGCTACAATAAGTACAGTCTGCATTATGCTCTTGCATCGCATGGAATACATTCGCTGTTTTACCTACTGAGGTCATTCTCCCTTTAGTTAGCACTGTGCTTGTGGTCGAGGAAAGCATCGATAGCGATCGGCACCGTATCTCTAAAAACGTCGTAAGTTGCTCGAAAGTCGGCGGCTCATCACTTTCGAGTGATAGCTCCCATTGCTTCCTTGTTTCGAATGCCAATTTGCTAACTACCTCATGAACCAACCAGTCGTCCCAAAACTCGACAGGACGCCCTAGTGCTTTGAGCTCGCGAATGGACTGCTGGAATGCGTCAATTACACCTTTTATTGCATCAGCAGAATCACTTGTAGCCCTCTTTATTTCCGACATAGCTCTAATGTGTACTTCGACAATAACGCGCAACACCTTATAACGAGCCTTAAGAAGGTCCCATGCCTCTTTGTGATTTGCATCACTAATTTGGAAGCCACTGATGATTCTCAATGCTTCACCCTTTAGACAACTTCGAAGATAGTGCAGCTTTTGCCCGTCCGATAAGGCCGGATTATTGTCGATCAGCGAGGAGAACGCGTCGAAAAACCCGATCCACTCCGTGGAATCGCCAGAGAACGTAGGTAGTTCCATTTTAGGTAGCCGTATGGCTGCAGAGATAGGTGTAGTCACAGTAGGGCGCGATTCGGTACGACATTTTTGAACTCGGTTAAAATTTGATAAAGCCGTTGAATACCAAGTCTAGGCTTGAATACGCACATTTTCTTCCAATTCGATGTTATCACCACCACACGAATTGTCTACAGCATCTTGGGCATTATTGAACCGAACCCATTGTTCATTTAATAGCTGCAAGTAACTCGCAACGTTTTCTACATCCATAGGGAATGCTTCATCAATACTTTTTGACATATACCGTTTAATGGCACTGAGGGCGGAATCGCGTGTTTTTATGGAATTCGACATTTTTCGAATTTGCCTTTTAAGGTTACTCGTAAGTCACAGCTTTTAAATAGAGTAGTTACAGCGAGCAAATGAAGGACACAAAGCGGCTCTTAGAATTTTGGTAATGTCAAATGGAGGACGAGCGTACAAAATCGCGCACAATCTTAGGTCGCTGAGATATACTCTTTTTATGCCACTCGAACACGAATCGCACTTAAATTCTTGAACTTTGTCAGTTTAATCACTACAATTGCCGCTTCGTATTTTATACCAATTACAAGCTCTACTTGGCTATATATTTTTTTTCACTTTCGCAATGTCTTTTTATAATATATGTAGATTTACAATATATGCGGGCGGGATGTACTATCCGGCTCGAAGGACCAAAAAATGTTGCGTTATTTACTGACAAAAAAAAACTCGGGTCGAATGCGAAATTAAAAATATGCGGTTTAATTTCATAAAAGTTCACTTTTATTGATTTAGAGGAAAAAAATGCGGGCGGTAGCAAGCGGTAGCAAACAGGCGATAATAGCTAAAGAAATAACAAATTAAAACGCGCAAAGAACTCAAGAGAGAAATACAAAAAAGTATAAAATTTCAAAATCGTTAACACTTATGCACAGTCTGTTGATACTTAACCCTTACATTAATATGTGCGATTAAAATATAAGAGAAAGCATAAATGAACCCAACACATTGTCAAGGGTTAAAATACGTTTCCAGTGGGTTTCTGGGGTTGCTGATTACGAATCTGATGTCAGATTTTCAAAATTCAAAATGGTGGATCCAAAATGGCGACCAACTTTAAAAAAATGATTGGATTTGTTTGAAACCCTTAACCGCCATTTTGAATTTTGAAAATCTGACATCAGATTC